CGAGCAAGTTCGTTCGCGATTGGCACCTCCACCTGCCGACCGCGCCTGAGGCTCCTCTGCGCCGCCGACCTAAAGGTGGGTGTGTATGTGTGCGAGTGCGTGCGTGTGTGTTTCTTGGCCACGAGGCCAGGGCGGCGCACTCACACCGCCCCTTGGCCCAGAACGGGCCTGGCCAGGGCTTCGTGGGCACGTGCAGCTCTCGCCTTCTTCCCATGGCAGGGAGGACGCGCGAGCCGGGCAGGAGCCGCAGACCCCTGGCCAGTGCGCGGACGACAAGACGTCCGCGGACGCGCCGGCCTCGGGTGGGCCCCCGATGCCGCCGCCGCTCCGGCCGCCGTTCCGTGGTTGGCCCCCAGGCCAGCTGCAGCTTGTGTTCAGGGAAGGACAAGTACCAACACCGCCACATTTCCCTCGCTTTTGCCTTCCTGGGCCTTCTGAGAAGCGCTCGTTGCCGCGGCTGGGCTCGCATCGAAATCCTGGTCAGAACGCGCCCCAGGAGAGGTCCGCGGAGTAGCGGTATCGGTACTTTTTGGTTTCCCTGGTGTTCCTCCGCCTCGCGTTCGTGTTCGTTCTCCGATCGACGTGTCTCGAGGGAGACAGCCAGAGTCGCCACGGCCTCGTCCTCGTCCTCGTCTTCGTCCTCGTCCCTTGATTTCGCGCGCTGCTGCGCGAGTCCCTCGTCCTGCCTGGGGGCTTGATGAGACGTGTTGGGGCTCCGATGTCGTCAGCGTTGTGTACAGTCCAAGCCCACGTTGGCATCGCCAGCCGCAACGGGAGCTGTGGTTCACAGGCTCCTTGCGGGGTTGTTTCGACCCCGCTTCTTCGAGGATGTCAGGAGGCCATGCGGAGGCTTTCGGACTGCTTCAGAGGCCTCCATGGACCTCCGCACCCTGGGTCTTCGCGAGCACAGTCGAGATGGTGGGGTTTCGCGGATTTCTGAGCCTCTGGAGGCCCGTTTCGGGCTTGAGCCCGCGACGGAAAGTCTGTCCCCGGGATGGTGTCGAGAGTTTTGTGGACACAGAGTGAGAAAACACGTCGCTGGATGACTGCTTCCGCAACTGCTGCTGCTGTTGTTCATAATCCTCCATGTTTTGTTCACGCTCCTTTCTTCTCCAGTCTGGCGGGCATGATGGCTCGAACCCGACAGGGTCTGCCCGCTGCCTGCAAGGCACGCTCATGACACATGGCAGATGTTTGACTAGCCACGATGTGATGTCCTTCCTCCTCCCCCTCACCCTGCCTTCTGGAAGTGACTCTCGGAGGTGCAGTGGAAGCATGACCCTCCACGACGATCGCCCTAAGCAGAGAATTCTCCACGCTTCGCCTATCACCATCAGCCAGTATGTCTGCCGGGATGTCTGGGCCGGTCACCTGCCGACGCTGTCTGCGTCTCAATGAGGGGCATTTTGTCCCTGGCATGTGCATACGCCACTGCGGCCAATTTACATCGTCATGCGCCCCCGACGTTGTGCCCGCTCCCTGTCTCTCGCCTTGGAGCCGCGAACCCAAAAAACATCACCATCAGCGCACGAGCCCGGCGTTGGCCACTTGAATTCTGGTCATTTTGTCCAGTGCACGTGCCCGAGCTTGCAGTACGTCAGCCAGTTCAGCGTCACCCAGCCTGCAGCTGCCGTCTGAGGGAGCCGGCCGACGCTCCTGTTCAAGCCAATTAGCCTCGCCTGTGGCCCGGACGTTGCCTTCGCCGCCTGACCCGTGTCTCGCGGCCGCGACCAAAAAAATTATCACCATCAGCCCGTTCAGAAACGTTGTCCATGAGAGCTGACTGGAAAAGGGATGAAGATATACGTGTATTTAATAAAAAAAGGGGCAGCCAGGATGAACACAGAGATCACAGGGAACACGGGGGTGGCCTTAGAGGGCCTCTTCGGGCCATCCCTGGGGCCCGCGTGGGGGCGAGGGAAAGAGGAGGGGGAGGAGGAGGAGGAAGAGGAGGAGGAGGAGCAGGAGGAGCAGGAGGAGGAGGAGGAGGAGGAGGAGGAGGAGGAGGAGGAGGAGGAGGAGGAGGAGGCCGTTCCCAGACCGTGGGGCCGTCAAACAGTGACTCAGGGTGAAGAACTCGTCGGGGTCCAGGACCCGTTTCTCTGAGGACCCGTTGTCGTCTTCATGCCACTCTCGGTGTGACCGAAGGTGCACCGTGCTTGCGGTCCTCCAGGCAGAGCAGTGGTAACCACTCGCGTAGCTGCGGTGATGTGCACTCCCGCTTGACTTGACCCACAGTCCACCCGCATAGCATGGGTGAGCGACTTCCCAAGGTGACCCTTGCATCTTTCCCCTTCGGCCCATCCTTGGCCGCGTTCGCTGGCCGCGCCCCGCTCGCACATGGCCCCGACGCCAAGCGTAGCCGTGGCGAGATGAGGCAACGCCGTCTATCTTCCGCCGCCACCGACGGGCTGGCACGGGCTGGCCTCCAGCATGCACCTCCGCAGGCTCCCCCCGCGGGTGCCCCCCGGGGCCTCCCAGAGATTGTCCAGAGGACTGCGGAGGCCTTACGGCTGGTGCCGCCGACCCCGAAGACGACGACGACGAGGACGAGGAGGAGGAGGAGGGGGAGGAGGAGGAGGAGGAGGAGGCGGATGACGAGGTGGAGCAGGGGGGGAGGAGGAGGAGGAGGAGGAGGAGGAGGAGGAGGAGGATGCGGAGGAGGATGGAGAGGGGGAGCAGGGGCAGGGGGAGGACGGGGGGGGAAGGAGCAGTATGAGGACGAGGATCATGGGAGTCGGAGGAGCAGGAGGAGACGGAGGAGGCGGGTTCGGGGGAGGAGGAGGAGGGGCAGGAGAAGGGGGAGTGGATGGGAAGGGCGAGGTCGAGGCAAGGCTGCGGAACACCGGGGGAAGAGCACGCGGGGGAGGGGGGAAGCATGATAATGATGCTGATGATGTTGATGATGCTGATGCTGATGCTGATGCTGATGCTGCTGCTGATGATGATGATGATGATGATGATGAGGATGATGATGATGCTGATGTTGCTGCTGATGCTGATGCTGCTGATGATGATGAGGATGATGATGATGAGGAGGATGCGAAGGAGGGGGATGAGGAGGAGGAAGAGGGTGAGGATGATTATGATGATGCTGCTGATGCTGATGCGGATGCTGCCGCTGATGATGATGATGATTATGATGATGATGACGACGATGATGATGCGCTGCTGCTGCTGATGACCATGAGGCTGCTGCTGATTATGATGATCCTGATGATTATGATAATGACGATGATGATGATGCTGATGCTGCTGCTGCTGCTAATGATGATGATGATGACGATGCTGATGTTGATGAAGATGCTCTTGATGATAATGATGATCACGTTGATGATGCTGATGATGCTGATGATGCTGATGATGATGCTATTGTTATTGATGATAATGATGATGATGCTGCTGCTGCTGATGATGATGATGATGATGATGATGATGATGATGAGGAGGAGGAGGAGGAGGAGGAGGAGGAGGAGGAGGAAGAGGAGGAGGAAGAGGAGGAGGAGGAGGAGGATAAGGAGGAAGAGGAGGAGGAAGAGGATGATGAATATGATGATGAGGAGGAGGAAGAGCAGGGGGAGCAGGAGGAGGACACTGTGGAGCAGGAGGGGGAGGATGAGGAAGAGCGTGCGGAAGAGGATGAGGAGGGAGAGTTTGGGCAGATGGAGGTCGAGAAGGGCAATCAGCAGGTGGAGGACGATGAAGACGAGGCGGAGGAAATGAGGAGGAGGTTGAGGAACAGGGGGAGGAGGGTATGCTTGTCGGGGTCTCTTCGGAGCGCTTTCGGGGGCCTCTGGGTCCGTTTGGAGAGACTCTCGGGGGTCCTCTTGGGAGCCTTTTGGGGGCCCTCCAGGGGCTTCTTGGGGGCGTCGTCGAGGCCTCTTCGGGCCTCCTGAGAGCTTCTCGGGGGCGAGGGCTCGAGATGTCCGTTCGGGTCCCCCGTCTGGGCACTCTTTCGGAGCCGTCTTGGGTGCCCCCTGGCATGTCTTAGAGGCATATCGGGCGGTCTTGGGGCCCTCTTGGGCCATGTTGGGAACCTCTCAGAGGATTTTTGGGCCGTCTTGGGGCGATCTTTGGGGCATCTTCGGCCGTCTTGGAGCGTCGGGGAGCGGAAGAGGCGAGAACGCCCAAATCCTTCCAAAACCTAGGGGGAAATAATGCATTTTGCCTCTGGGGGTCTTCTTGGGAGTGCTCCTGGAGGCCTCTTGGGTCGTTTTGCAGGCCTCAAGGGCCTTCATGGGGCCGTGAAGGCGTCTTGGACAGATCGTCCATAGATGCGGGGCCCTCTCGGACCGTCTTGGGGGCCCCTTTGGGCACTCTTGACCCGTCCTGAGGCGTTTTTTGGATCCGGGACATCCCCTGGGAGGGATGCGTATCTGGGTGGCGATCCCCCCAGGACCGAGTCGTATCTCCCCCTGGATTCCCCCTGGACCCCCCCGCCCCGGACGGGGGACTGGCGCGCTTGGGGAAGAGTGCCCAGGAAAAGGGGGGGAACGGCGACGGGCCCAGGGAAATGGGGGCCGCAGGGAAAAGAGCTGGCAGAGACGACGACTAGCGAATGACGAAGATGACGGCTCGAGCGGACAAGCGACCTCCACAGGCACCAGCATGCACCACTGGAGGCTCCTCCCGCGGGGACCCCATGCGGCCTCCCTGAGATTTTCCAAAGGATTATGGCCTTGGCTGAACAATTTTTCAATGGAGGATGATTCGGATGATGATGATGATGATGCTGATTCTAATGAATGATGATGCTGTTGCTGCTTCGCTGCTGCTGATGATGACGATGCTGCTGCTGCTGCTGATGCTGATGATGCTGATGATGCTGATGATGCTGATGATGTTTATGGTGATTATGATGATGATGCCGATGATGCTGCTGATGATGAGGATGATGAGGATGATTCTGATGATTATGATGATGATGATTGAGGATGATGATGGTGATGATGATGCGGCTGACGATGCTGGTGATGATCATGATGATGATGCTGATGATGATGTTGATGATGATGATGATGTTGATGATGATGATGATGATGATGATGACGACGATGATGATGATGATGATGCTGATGATGATGATGATGATGATGATGCTGATGATGATGATGATGATGATGTTGATGATGATGATGATGATGATGATGATGATGATGATGATGATGATGATGATGATGATGTGATGATGATGATGATGCTGATGATGATGCTGATGATGATGCTGATGCTGATGATGATGATGATGATGATGATGATGATGATGATGATGATGATGATGATGATGAT